CCCTATCTCCTCTCCTACCACAAGCTCATTGCTCACTCTGTTATACCCTTACTAGCCTTTGACTTTTCCTGGAATATACCAAACGATCTTGCTATTCCCTCCACCTGGACCACTCTTCCTTGCCAGGGCTTTCTCCCTCACTTCCTTCAGGCTTCAGGTCTCTGCTCAACTGTAACCTTATCAGAGAGATCACTGACTGTGTTTTACTTAATTTTTTCTTCTTAGTGTGTATTAGTACCTGATATATTAATATTTACATGTCTCTCTCTCTCCACTAGAATATAAGCTCTATGAGAGTAGGGAAGGATCTAAAGCATTGTTCAGTACTAGACACATATTAGGTACTTAATAAATACTTGCTGAATGAATGAATACATGAATAAATGAGTGAAGTAAATGACTAAAAGTAATTTAAGAAAATGTTAAGGATCTGTGAGAATTTTTTTAATGAGGTGTATGAACAAATATTAATCAAGTTTGAGAAACATTGTCTAAAGTAAATTATCATTGTATTTTACTATTATTTAAACTCTTTATATTATATATTCAATACATGTGATTAAGTTATATTACAAGATGAAGACTTCAAAAGTCCAGTCAAATCTATTAGAATAATTTGGAATTTATGTAGACATATCAGCACCATTTTAAGACCCATTTAAAGTACCAGTTTTTCTGAAATAGATGCCTAATTGATTTCAAGTTGCTGGTATTATATCAAAGTATTGGACAGAACAAAGATATCAGTGTTAAATTTAAGAGATCCGAACGAGCCTTTCCTTTGTCATCTCTCAACCTAAACATCTTTTTTTAAGGGAGGAAGAAAATAGTACTCTGTAAAAAACCAAAATAATTTCTATTTTTACTTTTTAGCACACATAAAGTCTTAAAGAGTGACTGGAAGAATCTTCATATGATTTATGTCAATTGGCCCAGTAGTAGTCTAAAGTTTATCATTATTATGATAATCAATAAACCCAGACACTTCTGTATTATTTGCTAAGTAGATATTAAGTGATTGGTAAGGTCCCTTACCAGCTCTCAAATGCTATGATACATGATCACAATGGGCTATATGATCATAGCAGCATAAAAAGCAACTATCATCTCATTTCATTTTCAAAGTGAAAGTGCCATAAAAACAGTTTTCTTACCCCAGAATAACAGTTAAATATTGGTGGCAGACAAGATCAGCAACTAACAGAGTTTTCTGTTTCTTTCTTTAAAGATAGTTCTTTTCAAGTCTGGATGGGCAGTTATGTGGTAGGAATGGGATGGAGGAACCCACACCGGATTAGTCTGACTATGTGATTTTGAAAGAGTCATATTAGCTATTTGTACTTCATTTTTCATTGCTGTAAAATTTTACCTGATGCAGTCTACCCTCTGGGAGCAAGATAATGAAATAATAGGAATTTACAGAGGCCACTTGCTGTGAAGCATAAGTTTCAGGGATCCTTATTTGCAAGTCCCTTCTAAGGCTCTATACCTATTTTGTGTGGGAATTTTGTGCTCTTTTTCTTACAGAGGTCCCCAATTTTGTTTACTCTTCAGTCCTCATAAGAACTGAATCCACCACTATATACTTAAGTGTTTTCAGACCCTTGGGAGAAATAATGACACAGAAGATTAATCTTAAATTAGAGTTTTCTTAGTTACCTTCCAAAATATAGCAATTAGGAAAACTTTCTGGTGTTTTGAAGTTTGACTTAGGCAGTGTGATGTGGGAAAAAGTTTTCTGGAGGAATATTAATTTGGGGTAACACTGCTACATAGGTGTGATGTGACATTTAACTTTTCTGAGATTCAGTATAAAAAATAAGAAGTAGTTGAAATGGCTGATTTCAAAAATTCTTTCCAGTATGAAACATTCTGGTTCTTATTCCCTTTCTTTTTTTTTTTTTTTTTTCCTTTTTGTCTTTTTTCGTGTCTGGCAACGGATCACAACCCTCAGTGTCGCGCCCATACCGGACCGGGACCGGCAACGGGATCGCAACCCTCGGTGTTGCACCCGCACCTCACTCAGCCAGTGAGCGGGAACCGGTCTGTATGTGGGATCCGAACCCTCGGCGGGAGCGCCGCCACACTCCCAAGCGGCGCACTGTAGCAGTGCGCCACCGGGCCAGCCCGTTATTCCCTTTCTTCATGCTGAAATATTGTGGAGTTTTCAAATTAGTTGGCTCCTGGTTTATTGTTAAAGAAGTGTGATTAAAACATTAAAAGGCAGCTAAGATCTATGAATCAACCTTCTTGAAAGTTTCTGGGAAAAGGGAAATTATGGAAAATATTTATATTTCTACTCTCTATCAAGTGTGCTTTCTGATATTAACTTAGGATGTCTGTGAAAAATAATTTACTTCATTACCATTGTTGGCAGGTTTCCATTTCTTAGAATAAAGAGTGAAGAATGTTTCAGTAGTACATCTCTGATGAAATCTACTCTGGATTGTTTAGTTGGCCCAAGGGCTCAGGACTTGAAATACTGCATTCCTGGCACAGTTCTGAAGTCTAACTATAAATGTAATACTTGAGATTGTAGGAGGTCAAGGAAGAGGAAAAAACAATTTTGTGCATATCATTTCATCTTTAGTTAATTCTTAAATTACTATTCTCTCAGAAGGAAAAATATCCTTGTTCATGTTTTGGGGGACGGATGATTTTGAATTGTCATTTTTGGTTCTAAGATTTGAATGGAAAAGGGAAAGAGATTTCCACAGATTTTTATGGAGTATCTGCTATGTAAAGATATGAGGTGTATGTGAGCCATTTCGGAGAGAAGCTAAATAGATTTTTGAAAATATTGGACTGGGGCTTATAAAAGGGGTCAGGATTGTCTAGTAACATAATGTTATTTGAAACCATTAAGTGGACAGAAATTAAGATAGCAATTCTCATTAACACAGGACTTGGCAAATCCTTGGAGGAGCACATTCATTTAGAGATCAGAGAGAAGAGGAACTATAGCAGTAATAATTTGGAAAAAGAGGAGAAGACAGTTTCATGGGATCCAAGACACATTTATGAAGAAAGAAGGGGGATGGTAAAATGGAAGACAACTGAAAGCATTCTTTAGGTTTAATGGATGAACTTCAGGAATACAGTCTTCAGCCTCAATAGCAATGCAGTATTCTAACAGAAAGACAAACAAAAAAAGATAAAACTGAGAAGGTTTATTTCCCAAAATTCCTGGAGAGTTTATTTTAGAACATTTATAGAGTTATACAACCAAAAATGGAGAGTATGCATTTTAAGAAAATTATGTAAAAATAGGTATTTAAATGAATATTTAAATAATAAATATTTAGAGAGAAGGGAAATATTAGGCATGCATGTCCATAGCATGAGAAAACTATTTTCAAGGAGTGAATGTCTCCTGCATTTGAAATTAGTCAGGGCATGAGGATGTTGGTAAAACTGCTTTGTTAGAAATTTAGCAATTATTGTTCATATAATGTCATAAGGAATATTTTAGTTCATTGAAGCTATAGTCAGACTAAATTAGCAGGGTAGACATGCAGACATTTCAGTATTGATTGGTGGTTGGTGGTTAGGTAAAACGTGATGCTGAATTCAGGCAAATTTTATTTTATTATTATTTATTTATTTATTTATTTTAAAGATGACTGGTAAGGGGATCTCAACCCTTGCTTGGTGTTGTCAGCACCACGCTCAGCCAGTGAGCTAACCAGCCATCTCTATATAGGATCTGAACCCGTGGCCTTGGTGTTATCAGCACCACAGTCTCCTGAGTGAGCCACGGGCTGGCCCTATGAAGTCAGGCAAATTTTAACTACCACTTAATCTGAAGCATTCCACAGCCACAGGGAGAATCAGAAGGAATAACAAAAATAATGAAAAAGTTCAATTTGTAAATACAGGCATGAGAGGTAATTGGGATATCCTCAGCAAGAAACATGTGAAAATGGAAGTCAATACCTTTTTTTAATTGTTTGCTTTTCTGCTGTAGACCTTCATCTCCAATGCTAGTCAAACATCTAAAAATTATTCCAATACACATAAGTTTTAAATTGTTATATTCTTTGATCCAATAACTCTACTTCTAGAAATCCATCCCCAAGAAAGCCCCCAAAATGTAGATAAGTAATATGCACAAAGATCTTCAAAACACAATAATTTTTGATAGTTCAACAAAGGGTTGAATACAGCCTTGTATTCCAATTGTGGGAAATTGTTGAGAATGAATTGTACTCTTCCATAAAATAGAGATTGAGCAGTCATTAAAATGATCTTTGTGAACAGTGTTTGGTGACATGGAAAAATGCTTATAGTACAGGAGAGTTAGATTAAAAAGGTAGACTATAGAATTATACATATAGTGTGATCTCAGCTGAATAACAAAATAATTGTGGGCATGAAGAAATAAATACGAAATAAATATGTGCATGGATAAAAAGTATGCCAGATTGTTAATGGAATTTTGCCTGGATAGGATTATGGATTTTTTTTTTTTATAGTAGTATATATTTCCCAGATTTTCTACATGGGGCATGTACTTCTTTAGGTAATTAAAACATATTTATTAGCACCAAAATGTGGGATATTAGTTATAGAAGAGCCTAGGAAAGGGAAGGTAGATGAATCAATGTAAATCATCATGCCTGTTGAAAAAAGCAATTCAAAATATGAGTCTTGCTGACAGACAATCAGTAGCATTACTGCATGCTGTCAGATTAGTCCTGTCTACTGGTAGCCTCTATTGAGTTACCCTCGGTGCAGTCAATCCAGTGGAAGTCTCAGTATAGATTCTGAAATCTAATGACACATTTGTTTCCCGGGTATCACTTGTGAAAGAGTAATCTGTGTCTTTGCTGTGAAAATCTTACCTTTTGCATTTGTCTTCCATGAATGGATAAATATAAAATTTTAACTTTGTAATATTACATTTGTAAATACTTATGTAAACTACCATATTAGGAATTATTGCTTCTTTAATTTTGCTTCTAAAATTATGTATTTTACTCTTCTTTTTTCCATAGGAACACAATAAATACAAAAGACTAAAGTTATAAAAGAAAAAAAAAAAGTGCTGCTAAAATGAATCTGAGCGATACAGTGTATCTTCTGCCACACACAAGAAGGTATTGTCCATATATCCATGACTTAGCTTTTCTCCTAAAAGATGGAAACACATTGCAATTTCTGGTTTTTCTATGATGAATTTTTGTTATCTTTGGAAGAAAAATAAAAGAGAAAATGAAAATATTAATAAAATTAAAATAAAAAATTATTTTAAAAAAATTTTAGGTTCAAATTATTTCCTTATAGATTTTTATTATTTTCAATTATAGCTTACAATATGGAAAATTAGTTGGTTAAAAGAAATGTGCTTGGGCCGGCCCGGTGGCACACTGCTACAGTGCGCCGCTTGAGAGCGCGGTGGCGCTCCCGCCAAGGGTTCAGATCCCACATACAGACCGGTTCCCACTCACTGGCTGAGCGAGGTGCGGGCGCAACACCGAGGGTTGCAATCCCGTTGCCGGTCCCCGGTCCGGTACGGGGGCAACACTGAGGGTTGCAATCCCGTTGCCGGTCCTGGTCCGGTACGGGCGCGACACTGAGGGTTGTGATCCGTTGCCGGACACGAAAAAAGACAAAAAAAAGAAATGTGCTTAATTTAAAAGTTTCTTGATTCCTACGACCAAATTATTTTCTGGAAATACATATATTGCTGTTTATTGTTACAGTAATTTATAATTAGATTTTGAAATTGTGTAAAAAGTTTTATATAACTTTTCCTCTAATTACAGAAATAATAGGCTTTGCAAAAAAATTTAGAAAATACAGATAAGCAAAAAGAAAGAAATAAAAAATTACTGGAAATCCCAACACCTACTTCAGTTAAAACACAAACTGCAAAGAAACCCAAACTTGTAGGTTAAAGAAGCCATGTTTCCCATCTTTACTGTCACATTCTTTCTGTGCTCTACCTACTTATGCCCCACTTTTTTTGTTAAAACACAACAAACAAAAACTGCCTTGTGTGAATTCCCAGAAGGGTATTACTGGGTCAAAAAATGTACCCATTCTACTCTTCCAGTGATGTATAAAACTGATTATTTCCTTATGTCCTTGCCAAAAATTTTATCTTTTTTCTATTATTTTGCCAATTTGGTGGGTGAAATAAGGTATCTTGATTATTAGTGAAGTTCTATATGTTTTATATCTTAAATGACCACTGCTATTGCTTCTTTGAAGTTTATTCCCTTCATGCTGGTCCTCAGCCTTGTCTTGTATCCTGGTGCTGAAGCTAAAGGAACCCATCCTCGCCAGATTTTCCTGTTTATCTCTGTTGAATTTGTGGGTGAGTGTGTGTGTGTGTGTGTGTGTGTGTGTGTATCTGGCATTAAGAATAACTTTTAACTGGCACAATGTTTTGCAAGAATTTTCCCTACTTTATTTGCCATTCAGTTTTGTTCATTGCATCTTTCTAAACAACTTATATATAATTTACATACAATAATGTGAACATAATATGTTTTAACAGGTGTAAATATCTGTGAAGCCATCATTATGATGGAGATGATAAACATATCCATCATTCCCAAAAGATTCCTTATGCCCCTTTTAATCCCTCCCACCCACTCCTTATTATCCCAACCCCGTTTCCAGACAACCACTGATATGCTTTCTGTGACTCTAGATTAGTGAGCATTTTCTAGAATTTTATATATATGAAATCATAAAGTATATACTCCAATGTGTTCATCCAATGTGTTAGTTGTTTCTGGTGGCAGATAATAAATCCATCCCGTTACTCCATCTTGGCTAGAAACAGAAGTACTTTTACTATATTTTTTTAAGATAAAGAAATTATGAATTATATGTAGTCAAACTTACTAACTTTAGTCTATGGGTTTTGCCTCTGATATCTTGCTTAGTAATTAAATATTCACATGTGATTTATTCTAGATGTTTATATGATCTCATTTTTTACATTTAAATGTTTATTTTTTCATAAAATCATTTTAGTCGGTAATATGACATAGTAATCTATGTTTTTCTCCCCATAGTAAATAAATAAATGAAATTTATTTCTTACAGTTTTAGAGGCTGGCAAGTCCGTAGTCCAGGGGATGCATCTGGTGAGGGCCTTGTTCTTGGTGGGAACTCTGCTGTGACACAGGGTGTCACTTGGTGAAAGAATGGCATGAGCAAGAATGAGCTAACCTTCTCACTTGCCCTTCTTATAAACCAATCAGAACCACTCCTAATACTCCACGAATGGGTTAATCCATTCACGAGGGTACTGTCCTCATAATCTAATCACCTCCTCAAGACCCCACCTTTCAAATACCATAGTCAGATTTCCCATCCTCTTAGCACTGTTACAATGGAGGCCAAGCTTCAGTGAGTTTTGGGGGGACATTCAATCCACAGCAGCATCCATGGATTGGCAGGATAACTGCCCAGGATTATAGGTTCAGTGTTGGCAGGGGCATCCTTATTCCTATTTAAAACTTTAAGTGGCTCCCCATTATTCTCAGGATAAAGTCCAATTTCTTAAAGTGGTTTCAAAGGCCTTTCGTGATTTTCCTTAGCTTAATACTAGCTTCCTGGTTTCTCCTGCCAACACTTCCATACATTCATACTGAATGAACTACTTTGATTTTCCCTTAAAAGGAGTGCTTTTTCACTTTCAAGTCAAAAGTAGGCTGTGTCACCCTGTTATATCTTTATATTTAAAAATATTTGCTTTTTCATCATAACACCAACCAGTCATAACTGTTTTGTCACTTGTGTCATTATACTTTAGTATCTAAAATCCCATTTGACTCTAAGCCCTTTAAAGACAGGCACATCCTATTCTATCTCCAACACCCAGTACCATGTCTGGCAAATAGTAAGCCCTCAGTAAATATTTGTTGAATGAAAAAATGAGTTTGCTAAATGGATGGATAGTTAGGTTGATGACTTATGTGTGCTAATGACTTAACTACACTAACCATTTGAAGTAATGTACATTGTCACCTAAGTCTGTCATATCACAAGAGAAAAATGCCTCTTAGCAATGTCAGTTTTACTTTAATTAGTGACCTTTTTTTCTTCTAAAGTGAGGCCCATTGGCTCATGTTTTGAAAAATAATTTTATTGTCTAATAACCACATTTATAGCTCAGTTATCTCGTGGTTCAAGGAAGAAATACAAACTATCCTGTGATAATTTCAAATGTTGAAATAAACAATTATGTAGTGGGTGGGAGAATTTACTTAGAATGAAAAATATAGATGAAAGTTAACATTTCAATATATTTCAAAAAATAAATAAAAATGGATCTATACCAAATAAATGTAACTATTGGCAGATCCATGTATAATCATGTCAAATAATGTCCTTTTATGAATAGAAATGTTAAACTTGGTATTTTGGATAGCAGCAGAATATCTTGCCTCTTTTAAGTGGACATTTAGCATAGCCTCCAAATTATAGCAGTTTCTTCTGTGATTAATAAAGAATTGTTTAATTACCTATACTACTGTATGAATTTATCAAGTCAATCAAGAACATGGGCTTTGCTGTCGGATGTGGGTTTAAATTGCAGTTCTGACAAATACAGGCTTCCTGACCATGGGGAAGTAGTTTCACCACCCAAAATCTTAATTTTTCTATAAAATTAAGATAATAAAGTTGTTACATTATGAAGCTGTTGTAGGAATTAAAGGAGATAATATAGGGAAGATTTTTAGCATTGCCTGACACATAGTAGTGTTTAATCTCAGTTGTTATTATTTTAATATTAATTATTCCAAAATGTTTTTTGTAACAGCTTAAGATATAATTTACATACTATACAATTTATTCATTTAAAGTGTACAATTGAATGTTTTTTAGTGTAGTCCCAGAGTTATGCAATCATCACCATAATCAATTTTAGGACATTTTTATCATCCTGAAAAAAGGGTTTGGGGTGGTGTGCCCTTTAGCTATCACCCCCCCCCCAAACCCTAGGTAACCAATAATTTACTTTCTGTCTCTATAGATTTGCCTATTCTGGAAAATTTACATAAATGGAATCATACAATATGTGATCTTTTGTGACTAGCTTCTTTCATTTAGCATGTTTAGAAAGTTCATTCATGTTGCAGCATGTTCCATTATTTCATTCTTTTTTATGACCAAATAATATTCCATTGTATGGATATACACCACATTTTGTTTACTCATTCATCAGTTAATAAATATTTGGGTTATTTCCACCTTCTGGATATTATGAATAATACTGCTATGAACATTTGTGCATAAGTTTTTGTGTGGACATATGTCTTCGTTTCTCTTGGGCATATACCTAAGAGTGGAATTTCTGGGTCAAATGGTAACTCAATGTTTAAGTTTTTGATGAACTGCCAGGCTGTTTTCCAAAATGGCTGTGCTATTTTACATTCCTACCACTAGTGTTGAAGGGTTCTGGTTTCTCCACATCCTCACCAATATTTATGTGACTTTTTGATTATAGTTATCCTACTGAGTATGAAATGGTCTCTCATCGTGGTTTTAATTTTTCATTTCTCTAATAACTAAGATATTGAGTATCTTTTCATTTGTTAATGACCATTCATTTATCTTTTTTGAGAAATGTCTATTCAGATCCTTTGCCCATTTTTCATTTGGGTTATTTTTATTATTGTTGTAAAACCAAGATGCTTTTTAATGTTAATTTATATTCACCTTGCCACCAAACAAAATGTGTTAGACATAATTTAATGGTATACCTTATTTTTCTATAGGTACTGACGACTTACTACCACCACCACCACCACCCCCAAAAATTGTCAATGAGAGATAAAGCTGACTGGGGTATCAAAAAGCAAAGTGATTGCAATACAAGTCATCATGCCTAAAGGGGTACCAAAGGACCCAGAGATTGCTGATTTGTTCTACAAAGATGATCCTGAAGAACTTTTTATTGGTTTGCATGAAATTGGACATGGAAGTTTTGGAGCAGTTTATTTCGTAAGTAATTAAAAAGAGTTATTTATATAGATCAGATTAAGAAGTTTTGAACTCTACACATTCTCTACACATAGCAATTACCTACAAAATACATTTTGTGTTTATGTTTTTTTCTACAAATTAGAGGCAAATAGTCAGTCATTACTGAAAAGCCAGTTCCAGAATTCTAGGCCTTATTCAAATCACTGATATCTATATCAACTGACTCTGCTATCAAGGTACTATAAGAAAATTATAATCTTGAAGTTGAGCACTGTGCAATTCTGCTGCGTGCTAAGCTCTTTCCTGCCTCGGGACATTTATGAGTATATGTGTTATTACCCCCACCTAGGAAACTGTGCATTGTATTCTCATCCCTGTCTAACTCTTGTTCAGCTGAAGTGTTACTTCTACAAGATATCCTTTACTGTTCAACCCTCCACCACTAATCAGGACTTCTCTTTATGATCTCACAACACCCTGTGCTTGTATTTTGTTGTATTTATCACAGTTATAATTAAGCAATTATGTATAAGATTTTTTGATTCATATATATGCCTTCCCTTAAATAATAAGTGTCTTGGACAGGGATTATGTCTATTTTCTTCACTTCTGTATTGTCAGGAACTAGTATAATGTCTGCCGATAGCAGGAATTTGATCAGTGTTGGATGGATGGACAGATGGACAGATAACCAAATGAACAGATGGCTATTCAAAGAGATGAATGCACAAAGATTTTTAGTGAAATCATGTCAAGTCAGTATTTTAGGTTAAGGGGTTCAAGGCTAGCCCCCTAAAGTCAGCTTCAATTCCAAGAATGTGACTATGTTATGCTGAGAAAAATGAGACATAACCAACATGTTAATACAGCTCATTCACCTGAAATTCATATAGTTCTTTAATTTAATCTAGATAATTGTAGAAGTTTGCTTTATTAGAGTAACAAATACTTCCTTAAGAGTATTAGTCCATTAAAACAAATAATAAATTAAGTACTAATTATTCCCTCTTTCTCCTCCAATCCTGTTAGCAACATTTTTTTAATTATGTAGTATTTGACTCTTCCTTTTAAGTGGTCCTTTATGTTCTGCCTTCTAAGTAGATCTTATCTTTAGTTGTCCTTCTAAATGAGATTTTATGAATTGCATCTTTGGCTCATCCTTTTGCTTCTAGCCAGGTCTTCAGCCTGGGTTTTCTCTGAACTCTTTCTCATCCCTTGGTGTCTATGCTCAGCACTACCATCACTTCTCCTCCTTCATCCTCATCTGTTACTCGGCTCCCACTCAAGTAAGTGTTGTCATTAACTGACCTTCCATGGCTAAAAAGGGTGTTAATTTTCTAGGTAACACTCTCATTAGTCTTTGGTATCAAAATAACATTTCAGGCCTAAAGTCCTGCCTTCTTTATTTACAGAGATACTTTTTTAAAAAAGCATTTTAAATTATAAATATACTATACATAAAAAAGTGTGCATAATACACACACATATATATTTTTTAATATATAATTTAAAGAATATTTAAAAGGTGAATCCCTGTGTAAATACCATCCAAGTCAAGAAATAGAATATTTCCCATTCCCCAGAAATTCCTCTTGGGTCCTCCTCAGTAACAAACTTCTCCGCTATCCTGATTTTTATGGTGATTATTTTCTTGCTTTTGTTTATATTTAACCCACTTGCTCTGCACTCCTAACCAATGAAATTTGGTTTTGCCTTGTTTCAAATTTTTTAAAAATGGAAACATTCTATATATATATATTCATTCGTGGAATGTCTGTTTTGCTCGAAGATACATTCTTGTCTTTCCTTACTTTTTTTCTGTTACTTTATAACTAATTCATCTTCTCAAAATCTTTTGGCCAGGGTCAGAGGGTGGTTCCAATCTCTGTTTGACTCTTCTGTTTTAAAAAACAGCCAGACCCTTCTCAAAATTCCAGTGTTTCAGAATGAGTATAATAAACCTAGCATGCTTTGAAACTTACTAGCAAGCCATTTGTGATAGGAACAAAATAAGGCCTACCTTGTAGTAGGTTGCAGAAGACTTAGTGATTTGTTTGCTTTTGGGGAAGTCTTATCTATTTTGCTGGAGAGTATGCCTTTTGAAGATGAGGACTATTTCTAACAAAGAATTACAACTCTAAAGGCTGGCACAATGCCCTGTTTACAGTAGGTACTAAATATATTTAACTTGTTGCTAATGATAGACTAGAGAAATGATAAAGGTACTGGGTGGCTGTGATATTGAAATGGAATAATTAACTCTGTACTATAAAAGTAATGTAGTATAGTAATAATTGTGTACAAAAGTGAATAGTACAGGCCCGTATATACCTGTAAGGCAGTAAAAAACAGATTAAAAGGAAATAGCTTTACCCTTTGGTCTGTAATAGTCACATAGGTAGTACCCTAAAAATGGATTTTCCCACCCTGGCCACAGTAACGTTAAATTTATGTGTTGCTGTTCCTTCCCTGTTAATTGATTCTTTCTCTTGTTGCTTGTACCAGTACTTATATAACCGAGAAGACTCCATCATCTCTTTTGCTTTTTTGGTAGCTGGTGGGTATGGGGAACTGAACCCATGACCTTGGTGTTATAAAAAGGCTTTGCTCTAATCACTGGAGCTAACCGGCCAGCCCTGACTCTGTTGTCTCTTACTTGGACAACTGTGATAGCCCACTGTGGTCTCTCTCCAGTCTATTGTCCACATCTCAATGAGCCTGAAAAAAAGTGTAAATCTGATCACATCTCCCTTTCTCTATAAAGCCTTTAGGGGCTCTCTCCTCCTCTTAGACTAAGATCAAAATCCTTTCTACAGCCAGCCTACGAGGTTCTTCGTGATGTGGTCTCTACCTATACCTGAACTACGTTTCCTCTCAATTCTCATTGCTTTCTTTTGATCAGACTTCATAGGATCTTTCATAAACTGTTCTCTTTGGAACATTTTTCTCTTCTGTCTTCACCTTTTCAACTTCTGTTCATCCTTTAGCTCTCAGCTTAAACCTCGTTTCTTCAAAAAAGGCTTTCCTGACCTCCCTAAGTCACATCCCCTATTTTTGATTCTCAAAGTAACACATACCCTTCTTTATAGCACATGTCACAGTTGCAATTTTGCATTTGTTATTATTTTTTGTTGTTGTTATCTGTCCTACTAGAGGAGAGATAGGTACTGAGCATATTTACTCACAATTCTATCACTAATTCTAGCACTAAGTCCCATACCTGACAAATTGTGGACACCTAACAAGTATTGAATGAATGAATGATGAACTCAGAGAACCTTGGCACTGCTAATTGTACTTTTCATGAGTCAAAGTCATGATAGCAAGCCATAAAGACCAGAGTCTAGCAACCAATGTTTTTGTACCTAACCACTGTAATTCTGTTAGACTCTTTGTAGTTTACAGCTTTTACGCAGAATGATGCCAGGGTATTAGCTTGATGTGAATTGTAAACTGGCACGGTGCTTGTTTGTATAGTCATTCAGCTGAGAGTCTCTGTTATATTCAGAGAAAATAGAAATTTTTAACTTGATGAAATATCTCTGTGTGCTTGGATTTACATAAGTAATTCAGACTTTAGCAGTATTAACAAATGAGATAGTAAGTAACTGTGTATTAAAAGAAAACAAAAACAGGCATGTTCATTTTTGTATTCACTTAAACATAACTGTAAAGTTGTTGTGTTTTTTAATTAACTATAAAGTTTGTAGGTTCCTAGTGCCCCCTTGTTGAACTCAGCATATCATCCATAATCCATCTAAAGCAAATAATTTAGTTCCGTCCTTCTGTATATAATTGCCTTTTAATTTTAGTTGAAGCTCTTATTTGTCTTATAGGGCAAAAAGAAGAGCTTGTGTTTGATGTTTTATATTTCTCTATTAATTTTATATTTCTCTATTAAAAATTGTAGCTGGAGATTGGGTAAGAAAATATCATAAAGACATAGTAAGTTCTCAATAAATATTTTTTGAATCAGCAATCTTGCTAACAGTTACTGAGATCATTGAGACTATTAGAAGTATTAAACATGATTGTAAGTTTCAAAAAAAAATAAAACTTGAAATAACAGGATGAAATCATTCATAATACAGTATGGAGCACTGGAAAACTGAGACACTGTGGATAGTTTCCTTTCTTTGTACTAAAACATTGATTTTTTTTTTTTTTATTTTCAGTGTAATTTATTCTGGCTTTTAACATGTCTGAAAAAAAATCAACATAGAAATGTTTTTCAAATAGCAAGTCTCTGCCCCAGTAGATAGGTCTTATAAGCAAGTGGATGCTTTGAGTTCTAATTAGTGATTATTCAGTAAATGTAAGAACTATATTTTTATTTTAGGGTGATTCTTTTTTCATGTCTCTAGTTCCAGGTAGCACTGATGATAAATAACCATAATAAGCAATTAAATAATAATGCTATCTGATTGCACTTGTGTGAGCTTTTTCTTTTTTTTTATAAAAGTTAAGAATTTGTTTTTAAAAATTTCACTATGAACTAAAATTTCTCATTGTTTGAATATTTCCTAAATCTTTCCCAGGCTCCTTAAGCTGCACAGTATATATGGAGTTATATCCAAAATATCCACTTTTCAAGATATAGTCCCGCTAACCTTGATTGTAATACTGAATTTACATCAACTTTTCTTTGTTGCTGTTGTATAAGCACTGTCTTAAAATCTAAGAAAACAGAGCAATGTGAGAGATTAATTTTTAACAAAAGCCAGTAACTTCTAAATCAATAAAATATCTAAAAAATGCTTTTGTGGAGTCGTGCATATTTGAAAACTATAACTAGTGGATACCTTGTTTATACTAGGGGTCTTTATAATAAAGTTCCTGGAAAGATTTATATTATCTTTTTTTTTTTTTTTTTTTTTTTTTTTTTTCCATGTCCGGCAACGGATCGCAACCCTCAGTGTCGCCCCCGTACGGGATCGCAACCCTCGGCGTTGCTCCCGCGCCCCGCTCAGCCAGTGAGCGGGAACCGGTCTGTATGTGGGATCCGAACCTCGGGCGGGAGCGCCGCCGCGCTTCCCAAGCGGTGCACTATCCAGTGCGCCACCGGGCCAGCCCCTATATTATCTTTTAATTCCATTTTTTCACACACTTTTTGAAGTATCTCCATATATAATAGGTTCTTTTACCTTAGTGCTTGTAAAAATTTTTTATGTGTTCATTTTCTCTGCATTTTGGCACTCAGTAAGAATCTAGAACTGAATTCTTTTTACATCAGTAAGTTATTGCTTATCATTTGAATTGAACTGTTTAAAAAATCATAAAGAAACCATTGTTATATCTGAGGAGCTTCTTTAATTAGATGTATTTAAGAAAATGATTATGCATTTTTCTCTAAATTGGTAACCTGATTTTATTAGTGAGTGAATGTCAACCTTCTACTTCAGAACCACTGCTATAGCTTTATTTGTCCACAATAATAATATCATAGAACTGGACTAGCTTACTTAATTATAGCAGGGTTATGGCACTGATGCAGGGATAATCTTTTAATGTCTTATATGTATTTTTCTGAAAATTTTAAGAAAACTAGTTTTATTTTTTATTTAATTTTTTATTGAAACATTGGTTATACATATTTATGGGGTCCAGAGCTGCATTTCAGTGCATGTATACAATGTGTGTTAATCTATTCAGGGTAGTTAGCATATTCATTATTGCAAAACCTAATTATTTGTGATGTGCACATTTGATCTCTCTTCTAGTCGTTTGGTTACATGCAGTAAAACAGTATTGATTATAGATTTCTGGGTCGACTGTATACCAATTGGGCTTATTTTTTCTATTTTGCTGTACTTTTGTGTCCGTTAATCAGCCTTTCACTATCCCTTGTTCTCTGCTCCCCTTTCCTGCCTCTAGTAACCATATTTCTTCTCTCTCTTTTTAACATTTCAATTTATTATTATTTATTTATTTTTGTTTGATTGATTGGTTACTTCTGTTTTGTTCTCTTTTTTTAGCTACCACATATGAGTCAGAACGTGTTCTCTTTGCCTGGCTTATTACACTTAACATAGTTTTCTCTAAGCTCATTCATGTTGCTGCAATTGGTAGAATTTCATTCTTTAGAAAAGTAGTTAGTTTTAAATCTCTGAAGCAAATTAAGAGGAAAAGACTATTACTTGAGTTATTCATGGTTCATGTGTACTTTCAATGAACTGTTATACTTATGGAGAAGACAAGTTGAGATGATTATGAGACAAGGCAACCTTTACAGATGAAAATACATACACACACATATACATACATAATAAGAATGTATATATGCAATACATTCTTATAAAATGAAAGTTTCTGTTAGGATTGATCTTACCTTCTGCTGCACTGTTAAATACAGTAACCAATAGGTACATGTAACTATTTAAATTTAATATAATTAAAATTAAATAAAATTTAATATTGATTTCCTCAGTCGCACTAGCCATATTTCACATGTTGTTCTATCAGACGATATAAATAAAGAACAATTTGGTCATCACAGAAAGTTCTATCAGATAGCACTTCTCCAAGGATTATCACTGATGTATATTCTGGTATAAATTATTTTATAATTTTTCCTACACATATACACACATTTACAAAAATAGAATCATACTATACAACATGTTTTTGTCATGGTATTTTTTGACATATTTCCATATTACTACTTTACATATAGATAACCTCATTCTTTTTAAAGATTATTATATTATATGACCATATCATATTTATTAAACTGATTCTCCATTGGCAGACCTTCTACAAGGTAAAGCCAATATAGATATTTTAGAAACATGACATTTTTTTGTTTGAGAGGACATATTTCTTAAACCCTAAATCCTTTTTTGTATTACAATCTTTGCATATATTCAGAAAGCGATAAAGATGGCTGGTTAGCTCAGTTGGTTAGAATGTGGCACTGATGACACCAATGTCCAGGGTTCAACCCCTATACCCAACAGCTGCCAGAAAAAAAGAAAGGGATCAAGACAAGCTGTATCTTAAAATGGGAGTGGAAATGTCTATCTAGCTTATCAAAAATTGGATCATCTTTAAACTGATACTGAAGTGTGAGAATATTATTTTAAAAGTCTGTAGTCAAATATTTAAGTTTAACTGTCTGAGACATCATTAATTCTTTTTATTTTTCTTCCACCCTCTTAACACAGGCCACAAATGCTCACACCAATGAGGTGGTGGCAATTAAGAAGATGTCCTATAGTGGGAAGCAGACACATGAGGTAAGATAAAGACAGTTCTATGCCTACACTGACACAAGCAAGTTAAAAATGACACAAGTTTAGGTCCGGCCCGGTGGCGCACTTGGTAGAGTGTGGCGCTTGGGAGTGCGGCGGAGCGCCAAGGGTTCGGATCCCATATGGAGACCGGTCCGCTCACTGGTTGAGCGTGGTGCGGGCGCGACACCAAGGGTTGCGATCCCGTTGCCGGTCGCGGTGAGGGCGCAACACCGAGGGTTGCGATCCCGTTACCGGTCACAAAAAAAGACAAAAAGGAAAAAAAAAATGACACAAGTTTAAATAGCTTCTTCATTTATTAAACATTTGCTTTATGTCCATTTAAAATAATAAAAAGAATATTATTATATGTATACTTGATAATAAAATACCATTTTTGGTTTAAAAATTAAAACATTTCCTTTCTGTCTTTAATAGCAATGGCAAGATATTCTAAAGGAAGTTAAATTTTTACGACAATTGAGGCATCCTAATACCATTGAGTACAAAGGTTGTTACTTAAAAGAGCACACTGCTTGGGTAAGTAGAAGTCAAAACTCTTGTTACCTTTCTTTTTTCCATTAAATACCTTTCCTTTTTCTTTATCTATTTGCTCTGTAGAATTATCAGTCCCATTTGACTTTTGTTGTCAGAATATAACATTTGTTAGTACCTCAGTGCATCTTGTGGTATACATTCCATAAGATTACATTTATCTACCCTATTGGAAATTCTATTCTATAAACACCCAACAAAGAGATGGTGAAAAGTTAACATCATTTTATAATCATTTATTTGTAAAAGTAAAAGTCAGAGCCTTTTATTCTGATCCTAGAATTTTTATGTTTGCCATTTCCCATCCCCCAGTCCAGTTCCCCCAAAATTGGTAATTTTGCTTTGTATTATCACCTACCATATGATTAAAATGAAACAGTCCTTTATTCTACACTGTCTTCTTAGTATATTTTTACATGATTGTGTTTCTTTTTTAGGTTGGGACATAAGGCACCATTTAGAACATGAAAATGTTATACTTTATACTTTACCAAATTTCCCATTCCAATTTAAAGTTCAGTTTAACCATCATTTATTGAGTGCTTACCATATACCAGGTCCTTTCCTGTATGTGATCTCTAACTAGGGAATGGAAGTTTCGTTCCCAAACAGACTATCAAACAATATACTTAAACATAAACATATCTGTTCAAGCAACTCATGAAATATTTAGAGCCATTGATTCTATTCTGAATGGAAGAAATTAATCAGAGGAACATCTTATTATCTAGAATTCAGTTCTCTGACAATCTCAGCTATTTTGAAGAAATCAAGAAAGGGATTTTGAGCAGGTAGAATAAATGTTACAAAATCCAGGTGCTAAATCTCATGTTTTTCAAGTCTTCAGAAAATCCTCCAAGCTCTTAGTTGAAGCCTGTTTGCTCTTAGATTACATAGAGTGCTAATAAGCTTTGTTACCTGGTTTCTGTCTAAAATTGATAGAGTAATAAAGAAGGAGCTCTTAAGAACTGAGCTGCTAAAGGCGTGCAAAAACAGGCACAAGAATAATATGACCATAAGAAAGAAGTCAAGTAAGCTAGAAAGCATAACAATTTAAAAGCAGAGCTACTAGAGTTGTTTAGTGTCAGGAGCGAACAGCCAGCTCAGGTGCCCTTGTGTTATGGAATAACAGAGAAAAGAATATTTGTGACAAACATGCTGAATTTCTTAACATGTAATTTTAAAAATATAAATACAACTATAAACATATTCATTTCATTCAGTTTTAAAGTTTTATATTCATATTCCATATACTCAGTTTAAGGAAGTTATATATGCGTATTCAGTTACTCAATTTTAAAAATTAGAAAATTATATGATACAGTTTAGAAATGTTTCCATCAAAGTTGATTAAAGGAAAAATGTAGGGCACATAAAAGGCTAATATTCTTTATAATATTTACTTATGTGGAATCTTTCATTTCACAAAAAGAAATAAATGTTTCTGAATCTATTTTTAGTGTCAAGCAGAAAATTAGTGTCTAAATTTAAAATTTTTAAACTTCTCATATTGTTCTAAATTATTCCAGTAATGCAAGGTACATGAAGGTATTCTATATTCTATATTCTATAATATATATTGTTGTTATATTTTAATTATATTAGATCATTATTATATTCTAATATTATAATTATATTCCCTATAATATAAATGTGTGTTTATAGTCTAATATATAATTGATATTATATATTTTATATTAATATATTTGTATTATATGTAATACATTAATTATACCATATATAACAATAAAACTATAATAAAGTTTATAAACTTTAAACTTCTAAATTTCTCATATTCTAAATTATTCCCATAGTGCAGGGTACGTTGTATATAAATATGTTTCCACGTTATTTTTTTTTAAATGAAAGGAACCAATGTGTTGATATTGGTTTTGTATAATAGATCTTAGGAAATTTCTATTTCATAATGAGAATGTACCTTTTTTTTTAGAATAACAATTGTAGGCGTGTAGGTGCTTGCATGTATATGTGTGGAGACTGGTCACCGAACACTGATAGTTTTAAACTTCGCTACAAATCAGTAGTCTGGGATACCTAAAAAAAAATCTATACTGAGAGTAAAGAAAGAGTTTTCTCCTTTTTTGTTTTTAGAGAACCTCCCAAAATTGCAATCCCAATAAGTAGCAATAGTATTTTAATAAAATTATTCTAGAAATATTTTAAGATATACATTTAAATATCCATATCTCTCAGGGATGCAAGCTAATGTAATGATACATAGCAGTCTCTATCTTTGGATTGAGTTCTAAACCATATGTATTTCTTATTTAGAACTTTTAAAAATTTGAAAATAAAGAATTTACCACTTACTGGTTTATTTTACTTAACTAGTGTTTCTCAATATAGATTTTATTGGCTCATGTATTTGCCACCTTCTATGTTACAAAATTTAATTTACAGGATAACATAGCCACCTTTAAATCCTTTTTGATAAAAGGTAGTGTGGGAATTAGTAAATAAATAAAATGACAATCTTAGCTTGACCATTCACAGTAAATATTTCCATATCCAGTCCCCTTATAGTCTCTAGGCCATTTCCAAGGAAGAAATAACAAAAACTGAGATGATGAAAATTATAAAAGCCAATTATTGCCACATTACCAAAATTCAGTCCAGGTCCAGTTCATTCAGAATATTTATTCTCCTAGTATTCTTAGTTCCTTGGTTGGTTGGTTGGTTTCAGCAGTTTCTTATTGACCTTCGTTGTTCTGATTATTATTTTAATCTGTTACAGTTGGTGATGGAATATTGCTTAGGCTCAGCCTCTGATTTGTTAGAAGGTAAGAATAAAAGCGCTATACCCTCTTTTCTGTTTTACCTTGGTAAAAATGTTATCTACTGCAATATTAAAGTGCATTTGGGGCAATCTAATTTGATAATGACTTGGACTTAAAGGTTGTATGGATAAACTAAGGAAACTTTATCTCTGCATTGTCACTAAAAGTATCTGAGTGATGTTAGCAGCCTTCCTGCTGTTTTAGTTCATGGACCATCCAGAGCAGGTTCTACTAAAATCTTTGGCTAATGTGATGTATTTATAGCCAAAAACATCAAATTCATGTTTATGTATGAAAGAGAGGTAGACAGTGTCAAATTATTGATATTTAACCCTTTCAAATATCTTGACTGACCCATATAATGCTATTATAACCAGAGGCTTTGTTAAAAATTTACATTAAAAAAAGTCATATCATCCTTGATCTATGAATAGAAACTGCTTATTAGCTGCTTTCACAAATAATGAAAACCTATAGTTAGAAGAGGTAATTATAGATAGCTTTGTGAATGAGGAGAATAATGTAACCTAGAACACTCCAGGCATTTAAATGTCAGAGGGAAGTGGTAAATTTGGGCCTGGCCAATTGGAATCAGTGTTGCTTTGACTTGCAACTGACCAGTAAATTAACAATGCATCATTTAATGAATATCAGGCTTTGTTTAATTTTGTTTTGAAGGATTGGTTTGTTTTTATACACTTGGGTTTCGTGTTATCTGATCACTTATTACTATTCTGTAGAAAAATATAAATCCTGTGTGTGTAGGTGAATGTGTTCCCAAATTGTCATTTCAGTCTGGTATGTAATTCAGCTGTATATAATTCAGTCTGTTATAGCTGTATTAAAATAATAGAAAGAAGAATGAAACTGATCATCTACTCCTGACTTTTTTCCCCACTTCTTCAGTTCATAAGAAACCACTTCAGGAAGTGGAGATTGCTGCCATTACTGATGGTGCCTTGCAGGGGCTAGCCTACCTGCATTCTCATGCATTGATTCATAGGTAAGATTAGAGACCAGTTACATTTTCATTTCACTTACAGGTCTAGTTTGTCAAGAAGAAAAGAAAAAAAAATTAACCTTCCTTTCATGTATTTATTTCTTAGCTGAGTTCTTCTCCCTTTCCTATGTAAAATATTTTGCATGTTTATATTTCATATAGATTCTTAGTAAGGTATTATCTTTATTTTGGCAGATGAAGAGATGGGGGCTCAGAAAGATTTAAATAACTTCCCTATAGTTTTACAGCATTTAAGTAACAGGGTAAGAATTGAAACTCAAATGTCCTGACTCCATCCAGGGTTTTTTTCTACTTTATATTTTCTCTACTACAACCCCACTCTCCTCTCTCCAAACTCCCTCCCTCCACTAATTTCTCCTAAAGAAAAATGAAGTTACCCATCTTTCCTTCTCTCAGTAAAGAACTTCTAGCATAATTACTTTAATGAATGGTGGGGAAAGTAGTGGAATATAGATAGGTATAAAGAATCTGAGAGGGCTCACAAACAAAAGAAAACATTTGACATTTACTAGAAAGAAGTGAAACTGTTAGGTCATAGGTTTCCCTTTGGCTCCTGTTTTAATCACCCCAGAGCAGCTGTTGTTAGTTACTGGTACTACAAAAGCAGAACTTTCCCAAAATAGACCAAAAATTTCCCTTATTCATAAGGATGAAGAATGAACCTAACCATATCTAATAAATATTGGTTAAATAAATTTACCATTGTGTCTATGGATTTGACTTTTTTTTAAATGTTTCTCTTTGGTACCAAGGTGTTATTGCTGAATGCCAACTTGCTTTTGATTTTGCCTGCTCTTATTTAAAGCTACAGTTCAGTATTTTGTGTGTGATTTTATTACCTTAAGCTGCACAGCAACTTAATGTTTTAGTCTGTATTATACTTTATCTTCTTTAGTATGTAGAAGAAGTTGAAAAGACCAAAAACCTTTTAAATAATGTTCTTTAAATTTAAAAATAAATACTGTGTCTCAGATTTTTATTATTTTGATTTAGAAGGCAGTTTATTCTTCTAATTGAAGATAAGAAATAAAAGATATTTTTCTGTTGTAAAGAGAATAAATAATGCTTTTTTTTTTAGTTCTCTCTGCCAATGCCTAATGTCATCATGAGGAAGGAAACTGAATTTTCAAGGGAAGTTTTTATAAAAGTTGTTTTGGAAGCATTTGAACCTTATCATTCTCAACTTGACTTAAGTTTTCCTCATCCTCTCTGCTTTATCTTTCCACTGCCCATCAACTTACAATTCTTAGTTTCTAGTACTCATTACACCTCATGCCTTTTTTTAAAAGAATAAGGAAGCACATCCACATCTTCCCATTCTAAATTATCATACTGAAGAATGAAAATTTTAAATCATATTTAAAAAATTTTTGCTACCTAAAACATCAATAGCTTTAGTAGTAACCACTTGCAGCTCTTTGTAGTAATGCAATAGAAATGCAATTTTCTAACCCCTAATACTTGTTTGTTTTGATCTTTCAGGGTCTTCTTTTTACTGTACAGTGTTATTTTTAAAATAACACCTTCTATATAACATGTACCCTCAAATGCCTTAGAGTTGCAGTTACAATTAAAGGCAGAGAGAAAGGGTCACAGGCAAGAAAGAAAAGGTATGTGTGTAGTTGAGGTTCATTGGTAGGTAGTCAATACAGTGTCATTGCAGGTTTGTTTAGGCTTCAAAAATATCACATAATTTGGAAAAGAAAATTTAAAAAGCAGTTTCAAATGGCATCAGTTTTCTCAGCACAAGGAATATTGCTGGTGACTGGATTTAGCATTTAAGAATATGCTTTTGTAAGCATAGCAGCTGAATAGGTTTCCTTGTCTGCCATGTCTGCCTTTTTTTCTCATCGTATTCCCTTCCTCTGAAGAAAGCTCTACCTTTAAGTAATTACTAAGACCTACCTGTAAGTACACCCAGGAATCTGGGCCCCCTAACAACATGCAATAATTGCTAAATCCCCTTCTGGCTATCTAAGAAAGGTTTTTTAAATAAACTTTGTGCCTTATTAATTGCATGCTCTGACCTATCCCATTATCAAAATTGAAAAGAAATTTACTAATCCTTTTATTTTTTCCTATAGAGATATTAAGGCAGGAAATATTCTTCTCACAGAGCCAGGTCAGGTGAAACTAGCTGATTTTGGATCTGCCTCAATGGCTTCTCCTGCCAACTCCTTCGTGGGCACACCTTACTGGTATGTAGAATTAGAAAATATGACATGCATGAATATGCATGCATGAATAAGATAGACTCATGGCATTGGTTTGGTTTGGTTTGGTTTTTGACAATGTCTTACAGATGAGCCTCAAAATGAGATTTCATTTGAGAAGGATAGAAAACTCACTAGCAACAAAAAGAGACTCTGATTTAGTATAAAACTTAGAATGACTTTAATTTAAATAAGGTTGATGTCACTGTGTGTAAACTGAGGAGGATTATCAACTCACTGGCCAAGCTCAGGTTTTACATTTCATTTGAGGTTTCTTTTGAGCTTTTCTCCTGAGGCAGTATCCAAGTAAGGACAAGGCAGCTTCTCAGCCTTCTCTGCCTAGTCAGCAAGCATAAATGTTACCTTTTCATGAAAGAAATCTAAGTTCTTGTCTTTGTTGAGTTCTCTGATACTTCACCTAGTTTGTCATTCTTACTTAAAGTCTTTCACCCTATTCCATTCCAGATTCCTTGCCTTCCTTTCATAGATATATCGTAATTTTATTATACCTTTGGAGAATGATTTATATCCCTGGAAAATAACTTACCTACTGAAAAAATCAGCTGCTATTTGAATTTTTCCCATCATCGTCAAATAGCATTTACTAAGCAACTGCTTACAATAATAGAGCACAGTTCTGTTCAAAGTGTATTAAACTGATATGGCCCCTGCCCTCCTAATGAAAATGCACTGTGGACAAACGAGTGAAGTGACTTCTATTACCATAACCTAGGGTTTTTTTTTTATATACGTTGTGGTATCTTTGGAATAGCCAATTATATTGCTCTATATAGTTCTAGGAAATATTTTTCATGTTGTTTAATTAATTTAAGTGTTTCATACATATTAATTCTTTACAAACCTCTGTGAGGTAGCTGCTAGAATTCTCTCCATTTTAAGATGAGGAAACGGGTATATAGATAGGTTAAGTAACTTACAAAATCAAACTGATAGTAAGAGGTGAAACCTGGATTTACTGAAAATAATGTATTCTTTTATGTAAATCACCAGGTATGTTTATATTTCAATAGTGTTTTTCAAAATCATTTGTGTGAGGAAATAATATCTTTATCAGATAATATTTTATAATACCCTTAAGAACAGCTATTTCATTTAATCACTTTATTAGGAGAGTATTGTTTTAATTTACAACTTGAGCTTTATACATTATGTTTGGTAGGATGGCTCCAGAGGTGATTTTAGCTATGGATGAAGGACAGTATGATGGGAAAGTTGATATCTGGTCCCTTGGGATCACCTGTATTGAACTGGGTGAGTAGAGGTATTTGTTTTCATTGTATTTTTGAGAATCATTTCTTATTATGATTATCAATTAATTCCTCCAGTTATTGTTAAAAAGTTATTGCTATATGTATACTAAGCAATGCAAATATATTATGTATTTTTCTATGCTTTTGTATAACACAGAAGATTGCTCTCTCTGCTACATTTTTATGTTATTAATTTAATTAAAGGAGTTTGAGCAGATATGGCTGTTAACAAACATGGAAATTCAAGATAGTAAGTATTAATATTTGGAAAATATCTATTTTCCATACTACAAGTGATAATATATGTCCTATCTTCATAGTAATATGCATTACCTTAATTTATACTCCAAGTTATATGTGGGAAATCTGAGACAGTAATAAAAGGCTTATCAATGATATGACTCTAAAATTGTATTTGATCCACATAAAGCACAACCTCACAAAAAATGTTGTATTGGAAGATACCCCAGCCATAAAGTCGTTCCCCAAATATTGCTTCAGTTATCTAAAATTGTCTGTAATACCTCAGAATCTCTAGTTACCTCTATTCAGTAGTGTATTGGTAAATTTAACAAGTGAATCTCTTGGAGGGAGGGAGCCCTGATTTGTAGCATTTGCTGCTTTCCATAGTGTAATTACTCCCCACTATAGCCAGTTTTAAGCTACCAGTGCTCTTCACTAAATATGGAATTGGAGAAAGATGTGCACAATTGGCCTTCCAAAGCCAGTATGAGCTGGCTCCAACATAACACTGTATTTAGATTTTTATTTAAACTTTAAATCAACAATGTTAAACTTTTTTCTGAGCTGAGCCTGTGGTGCACTCGGGAGAGTGCAGTGCTGGGAGTGCAGCAGCGCTCCTGCCGCGGGTTCAGATCCTATATAGGGATGGCCCGTGCGCTCACAGCGCTCACTGGCTGAGCACGGTGCGGCCGGTCTCAAAAAGGACAAAAAAAAAAAAAAAAAAAAAAAAAATTTTTAATTTTTTAAAATTTTTTTAAATATAATTTTTTTTAAGGTTTTGTAGGTGT